GCTGGGTACCTTTAAGATCGCTAAGGCTGGGGGTGTAGGTCAGTGGTAGGACACTTAACTAGCATTCATGAGGCCCTAGGACAGATCCCTGGTAGCACATACACATAAAAAGGAGGGAGGGAGGTGGCTCAGTGGGTAAGTCGTTCAGGTCCCAGCACCCACATAAAAAAACCAAGTGTGGTGGTACAGAAGATGGAGGATCTCTGAGCGCCCGTTAGCCAGCCAGTTTAGCCAACCAGTGAGCTCCAGTAAGATGGAGAGAAATTGAGGAAGATGCCCACATCGGCCTCTGTCCTCTACATGCACATGAAGACACACATACATTTGTACACATATATTACACACACACACACACACACACACACACACATACGTGCATGCACATGCACATACAAACTAGACTAAAAGCTCCAAAGGAAGGCACGAAGAACACCATGTAGTGAGCTCACTGCTTGATCAATTACAGTGGGGTATCTGGCCATCTCCTCCCAGAGTCTCAGCTTCCTCGCTTGGTCAGTGGAAGCTACAACACCCTGTCCTGCGACCCACAGATCTGCAACAAGAGCCAAACAGAAACAGAAAGTTTTCATTTCAATAGAGGGATGTGCACCTGTGAGAACTGATGGTTGCAGTTGCCCGAATTCCAAACACACCTGAATCCACTCGGATGACTCCTGGTACCCTGGAGGGTCTGTCCAGTCTTTCAGACAGAATGACAGAGCCAGACTCCCAGAAACCTCTGCTTCTCAGCTTTGCTCGATCCAGGAAAATCCCTTAGGCTAAAAAAGCAGATTTAGAGGCCCTTTCCTGGCTTTGCTGTGGCTCATCCCAAACAGCCAGGAAGCTGAAGGGCCCAGAGCACTTGCCTATCTATACACACACACACACACACACACACACACACACACACACACACACAGAGAGAGAGAGAGAGGCAAGGACACAGGAACTCCCTGTCCAAATGGCCCTGAGCGGGCACACAGGCTTGCCAATCGTAAGTAGTGTCTGTTCTGCCTGAGGTGGACTGTCTCCAGTGTGTGGACCCCTAGGCTCACAAAGCCAGAAGGAGTTTATGGGGGAAGGGATGAAGGAAGAGGGGAGAGGAAGGAGACGTGAGATGGTAGGCCATGCATGTTGGAGCCTGGGAGGAAAGAAAACCCCAGCCTGAGCAATCATTTGCGCTCCGTGTCCACGACCTCCCCTATTTAGGGTTTCGCAGACGTCATAACACATATCACACCCCTCCCCTTTCCCTGGGAGGTGGCAACAAAACCCAAGGAGCAGAGACAATCGTTGCTGGAGGCCTAATTATGGCGAGCAGCCTGGTGTGCTGGATATAGACTCTGCTTTGGGGGAAATGTGCTGATTTATGCGGTTTCCAACATTTAAAGGTGGAGACCAGACCGGCTGAATCAGATCAGAGTCTCTGGGACGAACCAAAACCCCAGGATGCTGAGCCAAAAAAAAAAAAAAAAACTGTGCATGATTGCCTCTGCCTCTCCCATAACCCCTTGTTCCCAGACCAGCTGCATCTTGGGTTCTCTGGCCATTACCTGGTGCTTAAAGCCCAAGTTAACCTGAAAACCACTGAGGCCCAAGTTAAATACTGTGCATATGCTCTGTCCATAGCTCTTGGGAAACTGGGGCATCTCAAGCAAAGGCCTCTAGAAGACTGCAAGTCAGTGAGACAAATACAAGTGGGTCATCTTGTCCTGCCCCACCTTGGCCAGTTGTACAAGTGTCACCAAATTCCCTCCTCTGTGCTTCAGCTCCAGTGTTGGCACCCTTGAATACTTTCTTCCTGGTCTCACACCCACGCTGATGCTGAGCCAAGCCAGGTGATTTGTCTCAGCCAATAGGATGTTAGCACCACTGGCTCTCACAAAGGTTGGAAAGCCCTCAGGCTTAGAATGTAGGGTTTATTCTCATTTGCAGTGCTTGGTATTGAGGTTTGGGAGGGTGGAGATCCCAAGTGACTTGCTGAGGAAGGGAAACCCATCTCGATGAATTTAGACAGTGAGGTCATCAAACAAGCTACCCTCAGACACACAAGAACCCTGAAGACCTGTGAGCGAGCCCAGGCTAGGCCTAAAAGATCACCCTACTGAGCCCCTGTGGAACTGCCAAAACCGCACAATTACAGTCTAAACAAATGGTTGTGTAAAGCCCTCCACAGCAAAGCAGAGGACGGAGCCACATCTGGAAGAGCTGGATTTAGCAGATATACAAGGAAGGGGGAGCCAGACAGAGAACGCACAGGCATACGCACAGGCAGGTAGGCCTAGAAGGCCTTCTCTTACAGATGTGTGTATCACTCAAGAAGACTGGAACCGGGGGCCTCTGCGGAGATGAGGCCAGTAAGGTGGTCAGAAGCCTTGCTACAGAGGACTTCGGACAGTGTGGGCTTTCTCCTGTAAACAGTAGGCAGCAGAAGGCAGAAAAGTGATGCATGAGAGCACCCAGAGGGGAGAAGGACCCCAAAGCAGCAGCCGTGAGGCTCTCCTTGAGGGAGGCGGAAACACCAGGAGAGGGTTCTGGTTCCTGGTTCCCAGTTACCTCTTACATATCCCTGTCTGGAAGTCATACATGAGGACTTGTATAAACTGAAGCAACTGGAATGACCAGCACATCCCCCACCCCAGTGTCTGCCAGAAGCCTTTTACAAAGCCCAGACTAGCACCCTGATGGTACCCCATACTCTGCCCACTTCTTCCATTCAGAGGCTCTCTCTCTTCTCTCTCTCTCTCTCTCTCTCTCTCTCTCTCTCTCTCTCTCTCTCTCTCTCTCTCTCTCTCTCTCTCTCTCTCTCTCTCTCTCTCTCTCTCTCACCTACGACTCCATAGTGAACCTTTTCTCTGAAACTCATCCATAGCCCATGAATTCAAGATACAAGGACCCAAACATCAGCAGGGTGCAGTGGTACACACCTTAACCCCAGAGCTTTGGAGGCAGAGGCAGGTGGATCTCTGTGAGTTCAAGGCCAGCCTGGTCTACAGAGAAAGTTCCAGGACAGCCAGGGCTGTTACACAGAGAAACCCTGTCTTTAAAAACAAATAAAAAACTCAAAAAGCCACTGGCTCAATGGAAGTTTGGAGTAACCACAAGCACGCGCACATGACGCCCTAGCTCCATTGTTCATCCACCTGAGGTGACAGGAAAGGTTTTCTTCTAACTCAGTCACCCTAAAACTGCCTGTGCCAAAGGTGAGGTGTGCATTGCACATAAGTCCCTCTGGTAGCATGGAGGAGGAGGTCAGATGTCTCTGTCCACCTGATCTACCCTTTCTCCTTAACCTTGATCTTGGCAGGAAGTCAAGTTTAACTCTTGAGGTAAGCACATTTACCATAAACCTTAAGAATGGGTTTCCGGAAAGTGTAAGCCTAAACCAATAGCAATGTCTCAAGAAAAGGGACAGATATGACACACTGGAACCAAGTTGGTGGCCAGTTAAAGGTGAATCAGTCAAGGACAGAAGTGCAGTTTCATAAAGCCAACCTTTTTTTTTACTTTTTTTTATTTTTTATTACTTTAACTTTAAATAATTTGCTTCACATATCAATCCCAGTTCCCTCTCCCTCCCCTCCTCCCGCACCCCCCATCATCCCTTCCTGCCTCCTACCCTATCCCCACTTCCTTTCACATATCTAGAGTCTGTCATTTCACTCAGGGCAGGGTCCAGGCACTCCCCTAAGAGTCCAGGCTGAGAGAGCATCTCTCTTTGTACACTGATCCACTGCCCAGGGCCCCATAGGTTGCCCAGATCTCCTCAGTGACTCTCACACTCAGGGGGTCTGGATCAGCCCCATGCTGGCCTCCCAGCTGTCTGTCTGGGATCCAAGAGCTCCCTCTTGTTCAGATCAGCTGTCTCTGCTAGTTTTGCCAGCCCATTCTTTGCCAATTTGCTCATCACTCCTCTCTCTCTGTCACTGGGTTCCATGGGTTCAGTTCTGTGGGTGTTTGCCTCTGCTTCCATCAGTCAATGGATGAAGGTTCTAGGATGGCTATAGACATCAAGTTCATTATCAGGAATGGGCATTTAAGGTGGTCTCTCCACTATTGCTTAGCTTGCCAGTTGGTGTCATCCCTTTAGATCACTAGAGGTCTACAGGTCTCACTGGTGCCAGACCGGTCTTCTAACCTATGACTCCCTCTTCCCCCTATTCTACCCCCCAATCTGCTCCACGATGTTCATAGCAGCATTATTTGCAATAGCAGAACCTGGAAGCAACTGAAGAGTGGATAGAGAAAATGTGGTACATTTACACAATGGAGTACTACTCAGCAGAAAAAAACAATGGAATCTTGAAATCCACAGGTAAATGGATGGCACTAGAAGAAACCATCCTGAGTGAGGTAACCCAGTCACAAAAAGACAAACATGGTATGTACTCACTCATATATGGATTTTAGACATGAATCAGGATAGTGCCAGTCTGTACTTCCACTGACAGAGAGTCTGGGAAACAGGATAGAACCTAAGAGAGATATGCATGGTACCCCAGAGAATAGGAATGAGGCAAGATCTTCTGAACAGATTGGGAACATGGTAAGGGGTTGGGGGGAGTGGGAGCTGGGAAGAAGAGAGGGGGAGAAGAGGAAGAGAGAGGAGGTCATGGGGGGAACATAAAGCCAACCTTTTGCAGACACTCAAGATCCAAGTAGCCTGGTCCACTCTGAAGTAGATCTCTTCTTGTTATCTCTGCAGTAACAGGAGGCTCAGCAGGTCCCTGCCCCAGAAGTGTTATCCCAGGCTAGCTCAACCCACCATTCTGTCCATGGCAGCCTTCAGAGTTGACAAGATGCCTGATAAAAACCCACTTCATCTTTTTTCCAGCTTAAATGTAATCCTAGAAGGACTGACTTCCTTCTTTCCCCAAACCAACTTTCCAAAAGTAGGATGGAGATATAATTCAGTTGGTAAAGTCATCACGCACAAGGACCAGAGAATCACATAGGCCAGTTATGGTGACAGACAGGTGTCTGTAATCCCAGGCACTCACCAGAAGCCTCTATCTGCACCAGGCTGTACATGGTACCTCCTTCTCGCACATCTGATTTGCAGTGATTCTCCCAGGTGATGCCAGGGTTGAAAAACTTTGCTCCTTCCCTCGTCTGCCCAGCGAGATGGCAGACTCCGTGTGTCAGTTCTCAGATACCTGCTGGATGAATGAATCTGTTTCTGACAGAGCCAGCACATGGCTGAGATGAACATCAGAATCTAGACTGCTGAGGCTCCAGTACCCTTCCTCCCCAATAGCCTTTCCCTCAGGGCTCCCAAATAGTATACTGAGACACCTGTAACCCTGTTTATCCCCCTCATTTCCACACTGAGGCCCTCACCCTTGGTATGAGGGGTTTTGGAGATAATCCTAAGGAAACTGTTGTGGCCAGGCAGTGTCATGAGGGTGTGGCCTCTTTCTGGGATCAATGGCCTTATAAGAGAAGGGGGAAAGAGATCATTCAATCTCCACTCATGCCGGAAGGTGGCTTTCTGCAAACCAAGAAGAGAGCCCTTACCAGAATCCAGCCTTGCTGGTATAAAGGTTGAGACTTCTACACTATAATAATTTATAATCCACCATTTTGGGAGTTTTATATGCATGTGTGCATATGTGTGCATGGGTGTGCATGCCTGTGTATGCATATGTGTGGAGGCCAGAGTTTATGGAGAACAACTTCAGCTGTCAAATCTAGAACACCATCCACCTATTGAGACAGGATCTCTCCCTGGTCTGGATTGTAGCTGGACTGGTCAGCAGACCCCAGAGATTCCAGTCTCCACCTCCTTGGTGGTGGAGTTACAAATGCATGCAACCATGCCAAGATTTCCCTCCTCCACAAGATTCTGGAGGTCAAACTCAGGTCTTCTTACTTGCAAGGCAGGGACTCTACTACATGAGCCATCTCCCCAAGCTCTAGTCCATTGCTCAAGCCACTCAGACTAAGATGGTGTGTGGTGGCAGTCCAAACAAACTTAAAATTGTTTATTTAGCCAGGTCCAAGAAACTTTGGTCTAGCGGAACCGGCCCTGGAGTCTACAGCATACTCTTGGGAAGGCACTGTGGTCATCCTAAATATCACAGAGAAGCAGAGCAGTATGTGTCAGGTGTCTAAGAGCCATAGCTCAGGGAGGTCAGAGTTCCAGCCTCATTGGTGCAATGTTGCTTCTGATGATACCTTGTCTTTGCACAGGTGGCTTTCCAGTGATTACAGAAATAAGAAATGAGGTTATTGTACCAGTAAGGATTCTCTAAAGGAACAGAACTGATTGTGTGCGTGCGTGTGCATGTGTGTGTGAGCGTGATTTATTAGACTGGCTAGCAGGATGTGGTGGTGGGTAGTCCTACAATGGCTATCTCATGACAGAAAGGTCAAGAATCTGGTGGTGGTCAGTCCACACAGCCAAGCGTCTCTTCTGTTCCAACTTGGGACTGGAGTCCAGCAGGACTCCTGGGGAGCTGCTGATTTTTAGTCTGCATTGGAATCCTGAAGAATTTGGATTTAATGTTGGCCACAACAACAGGATAGATGAACTTGCCAGTGAGAGTGAAGGCAAGCAGGCCAAAATCAAAGTTTCCTTCTTCTGTGTCCTTTTTATATGGGCTGCCACCAGAAAGTGTGGCCCAGACTTAGGGTGGGCTTTCCTGCTTCAAATAATCTGATTAAGAAAACCCCTCCCAGGAGTACACAGCATTTTGGGCTTACAGATGTGCTCAGCTTGACAATCAAGATCAGCCATAACAGCAGTGTGAGTGCTGAGTTCTGAAGAGCTGTGAGGGCCCAGGGGACACACAACCCATCCCTGTGGGGCTCCCGCTATTTGACATGAAATCTAAATTTTATTTTTTCCTTTCAGCTTAAAGGAGTTGACCTTTCAAATGACTGTTGATCTTTTAGGACACAAATACAAGTTATTTGGGCCTGACTACTTAATCGAAAACAAAACTATACTGGAGTTGGAGAAATGGCTCAGCAGCTGAGTGCTACTACTATTCCAGAGGGTTCCAGTTCCATCCCCAGCACCATGTCAGGTAGCTCACAGCTGTCCATAACTCCAGCTCCAGGAGACCAAACACCCTCTTCTGACCTCCAAAGGCACCCGCACACATGTGGCATACATTCATACACACACACAAATAAATACAAATAAATATCTTTTTAAAAAACTCACTAGGCTTTGGTTTTGGCCATGGGAACACCAAAAACTCATATACTAAGGATATTGGAAACAGAAGAAATGTGTTAAAAATTTGTACTTCTGGCCGGGTGGTGGTAGCACACGCCTTTAATCCCAGCACTCTGGAGGCAGAGGCAGGTGGATCTCTGTGAGTTCGAGACCAAGCCTGGTCTACCGAGCGAATTCCAGGACAGGCTCCAAAACAATACAGAGAAACCCTGTCTCAAAAACCAAAAAGTAATATAATAATAATTTGTACTTCTGGTACACAGTTTCCCTGCCCTGTAGAAACTGGAAACAATTGTACATCATAAGGCTGTGATGGGATTGGCTAGAAGGATGTACAGACAGTGATTGGAATCTGGTACATAAGAGGCTCTCCTGGTTTGCTTCTCTGTTGCTATGATGAGCACCACGGTCAAATTCTTAGGGACAAAAGGATTTATGTGGTTTACAGGTTACAGCATCAAGGGAAGTTAAGCAGGAACATTGGGGGAATGGAACACTTCTCACAGGCCTGCTTCCTCTGGCTTATTCAACTACCTTCCTTACACAGCCCAGGCCCATCTAGCTAGGGATGGTACAGCCCACAGTGGACTGAGTCCCTCTACCTCAATAGCAATCAAGAAAATGTCCCACAGACCAATCTGATGGAAGCAGTTTCTCAGCTGAGATTCCCTCTTCCCCCTGTATGTCTAGGTTTGTGAAAAGTTGACAAAAACTGTGACAGAGACCAGTCAATTCTTGGCATTGTTACAAGAAAAAAATCTCAAATGTGTCACAGAATATTATATTAACAGTCTCCTCAAATATATGTTTTTTCTGCTTTTGGGGTAGAGCCCAAAGCCTCACGGATTCTAGGCTAAACAACACTCCCAGCCCTTCTGACTAATAATGTTGGAATGGTTGTATGCCAAGCACATGGGCTTGCATCGAGAAGAGAACTAGCAATAAAGACTTGTGTGTATATGTGCATGCTAATGCATGAGTGCACACATGTGAGGTGACATGTGAGGACTGGAGGTCATGGAATACAACCTCAGGCATCATCCTCAGGAACACTGCCTTCTTTGAGATAGTATCTGGAGCTCACCAACAGGAGTCATGGAGGACTAGATGAGGACCTGAAACCGTGGCCAAGGCTCCCCCAAGCCTCAATCTCCACATGCATCCCTTGGTCTGAGAGTTCAGAGAATGAGGATGTTTCATCCGATGTACAAACGCCAGCAGGCACCAGACAATGACAGAGAAGCGTACCCCACCCCCAACAAACAGGACCGACTTAGTTGGTGGTGATTAACCCAGCAAAACTGATCTGCTGATGACAAACTTCCTCTATCAGCTTGTCACATGACATCCCAGACTCTGGAGGTAAATTAATTTCTCGGCTTACTTTGTGTTGAAGGTAATTAAGCATGTCAGAGTTACATAACCATCCTTCCAAACTGATTCAGACCTTTCACTAAATTGGACCAACTCAGACTGTGTGGCAGTACCGAGTCTCTGCCAGCTGTGTAGCCAGTGCGGCATTCAATGCCTTAAATAGAGATTTGTTGATCAATCCACCTACAGTTTTTAAAATGGAGTCTTGCATTGAGAGTATAAAAAAATTTTAAAGCCTTCTTTTAAAATAAATAAATAAAGGATCTGTTTCCATCAGATCAAATTTCCTTTGCCATTTGCCTCTAGGACTCCTAGAGATCCTGGGATTTTTTAATGCTGAATTTAGCCCTTTATTAGATAGTCATTGCCATCGACCTCGTTCCCATAGAGGGGTGATTATGGATTCATTCCTCCTACAGAGCTGTGGCTGGCAGAAGTGGTTCTGCGTGTAGCTTCAGGGAAATGCTGTGTTCTATAAAATGAAGGCTGAGAGGGCTGTGGAGCTGATTCTGGCATGTTTTCCTAAATTAAGAAGAAAATGAGGGGGTGAGGATGCAGTTCAGTCTAGCATGCACAGAGCCCTGGTTCGATCCCCAGCACTGCGTAAACTGGGTGTGATGGTGAATACCTGTGATCCCAGCACTTATTAGAAAACTTTCAACATGACCTTTTTAGTGCACTGCGTAAGTTTAACAAGCACTTAAATGAAAAGAAAAATAAAAACAGTGGACAAACTTAAAAGACAGGCCAGTAGAAAAGACCCAATCTGGATAATTATCTAGAGTCAGATATGATGGCACACATTATAATTATACTTATGTAATTCAAGATGATTATAATTATCTGGGTATTATCTGGAGTCAGGTGTGATGGCGCACATATAAACCCAGCACTTGGGAGGCTGAGAAAGAGGATCGTCAGTTCAAGGCCAACCTGGGTTACGTATCAAGTTCTACGGCAGCATATGGAAAGAAAGAGATGGGGAGAAAGAGAAAGGAAGCAAGAGAGAGATGAAGGAAGGAGGGGAGTAGAGGGAGGAAGCTTTGCTCACTCATGGGTTAATTAAGGCTTTAACTCATGCTCACTCTGCAGGGGATTTTTAATATTCACGTAACTACTTTGATGGAAAGATGCTGATCAGCACAGTAGGGCGGACTGCAATTCCTGTTTTCCCAACCCTCTTCCATCCAGTTCCAGGCTGTTGCCTTTGAGACCCGGTTCCTGCAGAAAGTACTGCTTTGGGGCTTGCAGCTTCTTAGACAATTAAGCAGTGAGCAACTCCAAGGAGTGGTGAAAGTGGCCACTTCAGCAAAAAGGCTGGGCTTTCCGGATCCACAGGCCCTGCAGGAGACACAGGGCCTTCCTGGCCCTTAGAAAGCTGACATGCGGCCAACAGGTCTGAATGGCCCACCAGCAAGTCTGGGATTGTGGAGAGACAGGGGCAGAGGCCTCCCGTGAGCACCTTGGCAAGAGGCACTGGCAGTCCTTCGGAACCTTCGCCCCCAGCTAGTATGGAATACACAGTGTGGTAGAAATCACAAGAAAGCTGACCTCAAGAAAAAAAAAAAGATGGAAGCTGTCTTTTGAGTTCCATTC